AAAGTCACCCAACCGGCTTTCAGGCCAAAGACAGGACTAGAACTCCCCATCTTCTGGTTCCTAGCCAGGCGCCTTAACCATTAGACCAAACTGTCTCTCTAATCAGAGATGCTGCAGAGCGATATAGAGTCACATCAAAGGAAGTGTGTTCCCCCCCCTTCCACACTCCAGCTGAAAAACACCCCCCATAAATTCAGAAATATTCCTCAAGAGCCTGAAGGAGGAGGGAGGCACAAAGAGAGGAAGCTGCTTTCAACAGGGGAAAAGACATTTTTGAGAAATGGCCAAGGCGAATTTTGGCTTGGTGCTCATATTTATGCTGCCCAGATGTAATTGCTAATCAAGTTATGTGTGTGATGTACAACCAGACAGCTTCTCGCCGGTTGTCTCCTGGAATTGCGATTTGGAAGATAGCTTCCCCATTATTATTTTTATTTCCCTGTTCAAAGACATCCTAATAAAAAAAAACCAGCCTCGTTGTCTTTGGCCTCTTGTCAACGGAGCAACTAAATATACGAGGAAGGATATAAAACATACCGAGAGGCTGTAAAAATATATTTCCCATCCATCGAAACACTCTATTTTTTTTTTTTTTTATAAAGCCTGGGTCATAAAAACAAAACCAAACCCCAGCACATCTTCACTCCTGAATAACATCCCGTGTGTCGTAAAGCAACACTGGTCTCACTTAAATGCTGGCAGCACATTTTGGGAACACGAAGGACTCCAGTGCTTCCTGGCTTTGGAATTTGTGACGTGCCATGAAACGATATTTTACATCGTCTTTCAGAGGAGATGATTCCAATCACTTCTTGAGATGCTCATCTCATTGAGCCAAGTTTGATCCTGGAGAGTTTTGCCTTATGTATTTAAATCATTCTTCAGTTTTTATTGCACCGGGTGGAGGTGCTGATTTTTTTGGGGGAAGGACTGTTGGCTGGGAAATGAGATAAGAAAGCATTCACTTGGTACAATTTGGTTTTGATTTCTGGTTTATGAGAGCGGAAGGAAGCCGGGCACTATAGGAGTCAAGAGTGATATCATGGTTTCAGGAGTAGGAGACATGGGTTGAGTCTCCATCCATGGTCCATAACATTGGTCTAACTTCAAAGAGGGAATCCATCAATCACCAAAGTGGTATTTATTTGGTGTATGGCAAAAATGTTTTAGATGTACCTCTTTCTTCTTTTTCTCTCTCTCTCTCTTTTCTTTCTTTCTTTCTTTCTTTCTTTCTTTCTTTCTTTCTTTCTTTCTTTCTTTCTTTCTTTCTTTCTCTTTCTTTTCCAGTTGTCTCTTGAAAAAGCACCTTTGATCTGGATGACTGAGAATCTCGTCTGTCTTTCTCCTCCTTCCTCTTCTTCCTCTCTTTTTTTTTCCTTTCTCTTTTTTCACTCTTTCTCCTTCTTCCTTTCTCCTTTTCTTCTTTCCTCCCCTACTTTCTTCCTTTTCTTTTCTTTCTTTCCCCTTCATTTCTTATCTACCCTGGTTTTGATTTCAGGTACGCAACAGCAAAGCTAGTGGCTACTGCTTGGACCAGGGCGCGGAAGATGACAATAAAGCGATCCTCTATCCGTGCCACGGAATGTCTTCCCAGGTAAAAACGCACCTTTGGATGTCCTTCTGAAGTCAAGCTTGACATCCTTAGTCTCAGGAGACGAGGGTATCGTGCTATGAAACTGGTAGCTGCCACGTCCTGTGTTGTTTCAATGCTGTGTGCAAAGCTGGAGTGCCTCTCCAGAGCACGAGGCCTGGGTAATTATTCCATATGGAGGATAAACTGTTACCCAAGCAGCAGATCCCCCCATCCCCAAGTCACTGAAATAGTCTAATGAAACAGCAGAGCCAATACGGTTAGTTCCAGCTGCGTCGCAGGGGTTACCAGAACATGGTTGTACACAGTCACGAACTGCTTCCGGGGCTCCAGCCCTGGATTTTTGCCTCAAGGTTGATTCCTGAAGCCTCTTCCAATAATAGACAGAGCCACAAGGCAGTGGAGGTTTGAAATCAGAGTTTCCCTTCTCCTAGAAGATGCTTCTACCGTTTATCTGCCGTTGGGGCATAGAGCTCAGCTCGGCTCCATTTTCAGTGTCCATTATCTTCCAACGGTCACTTTCCAACCATTCCACCCTATCAGCACTTGGCCTATCAGTCACCGTCAAGCTTGATGGGAGACCTTCACTTTTGAGAAGGAAAACCGATTCTCAAACTATGGAGTTTGAGCACGTGGTAGAAAATCAAATCCAGAAAGCACACACAGATAACTGATTCAGTAGGATTCATTAACTTCTTTATATACATAACACATGAAGTAAATGTACAATACCAACAGCAGATTCTTCCAACGTGGTAGAGGGGAGATTGTAAGCAAGTTTCGGTTAGCAGGCAGACTAGTCCAGATTAGTTTCGTTTTAGAGCTGAAGCCACACCCAGACTCCTTCCTTAAGTTTCTGTTTCCAAAAGCAGCCCTCATCGGCTGACCTTGTTACCATGACGTCTCCGCCAGTTCAGGAATATTCTGACATAAACTAGATTTGGGGCTGGAGGTTTAGAAAGGCACCCAAAAGTCTTGAGGAACCTCTAAACCAAACTAGGGTCACCTTTGATGTAAAACAGGCCTGGGTCCATTGGCCACAAAGTCAAGACCTCCTGGGTTTCGGTGAGGAGGAACTATTTTAAAGAGGCGGGGATTTGAAAAGCGAGATGAGAGCTACATTTCCAGAAGCTCTCTTGTTGCGTTCATGGTTGCGGTGGACTTAACCATGATCTTATGACCTTTGATTTGGTTTCGGTCTCAGCTCGTCCGTTACAGCACCGAAGGATTGTTGCAACTGGGCCCAATGGGATCCACAGCGTTCCTACCTGACTCAAAATGTCTCATAGATGATGGGAAAGGAAGGACCCCCACGCTGAAGAAATGCGAAGATACGCTGAGACCAACTCAGAGACTCTGGGACTTCACACAGGTATGACAGGCATGTCAGAATATACAGCTATGCGGGATACCAATGGAAGAGGATATTTGTAGCTGAGGGAGGAACTGTGGGATCCTTGGTGCTCTCTGAGCTTGGTTGCTTTCTTGCAGACATTTCACGACCCAAGTAGGGAACATCATCAGTGCTAGAAGGACATGAGGTTTGCATAGAGGAGGAGGACAACTTTGGGGGTCCTTAGTGCTCCCTGAGCTAGGTTGTTTTCTTGCAGACATTTCATGACCGAACTTGGCAATATTATCAGTGCTAGAAAGGGAGGAGGAGGAGGAGAACTGTAGCGCCCTTGGTTATCCCTGAGCTTGGTGGTTTTCTTGCAGACATCTCATAACCCAGCTAGGCAACATAATCAGTGCTAGAAGGGAGTGGGGTTTGCAGAAGGAAGAAGGAAGGGGGGTAAGGAGGAGAAGAACTGTAGGATCCTTGGTGCACTCTAAACTTGGCTGGTTTTTTTGCAGAGGTTTCACAACCCAACTAGCTCAATGCTATCCATTTGTCCCCACTCTCTTCTAGCAGTGAAACATTTGCAAACACCAAGCTCAGAGAGCATCAAGCGCCCCCACAGTCCTCCTCCTCCTCCCCACAAACCCCACTCCCTTCTAGCAGTGATGACGTTGCCTCGTTGGGTCATGAAACGTTTGCAAGAAAACCATCAAGCTCAGAGAGCAGCCAAGAACCCCACAAACAGAAGAGACAAGGACGCAAAGAGAAAGCTACTTTTTTCCCCCATAACCCGCCCTACAACTATAAGTGAGGAACTAGAAGAGAAATTTGATTCTGTTCCAGTATTACACTTCCCAAGTCATTGCCAACTTACTGCTTTCCAAATGTACTGAGATTCCTGTTCCTACAATCACCACGAGAGTTGGGACCCCTGGAAGTTTTTTCGTGGGATTCTGGGAACTTTGTAAATGCTGAGAATTCTGGGAGCTCAGGATTCCAGGTGTTTGATGGAATTCTGGGAGCTAACATGGCGGCTGAAATGAAATGGGGCTTTTAGTTCTAGCCAGCATGGAGGGTACGACGACAGGAAAGGGAAAACATAAATGAAAAAGAACACAGCCACGTGTAGAAATATTCCCCATCTCGTTCCTATTATTATGAAGAGTCTCAAACAATTTGATTTTTTCCATTTAAGGGAGATAAAGCAATCAGTCATTTTGATTATTACATTTTTATTTTTGACTCCCTTCTCTTGACGCCCCCAAGCAATGCCAGTTCCTAAGAGTAGAATTTTTTTTTTTTTTGGTTTTTGAAGGAGAAAACTGCAATATTTAACTTTTCCCTCACCTGTCTTTTTTTTTTTTTTTCATGGCATACTCCCTCTGAGGCAGCCTTTTCCTCTTGTTCAATTTTTTGGAACACACAAAGCCAAGCATTTTAAATTCTTCTCCACACCAGCAAGTAACACTGTGCTCAGGTCTCCACATTCTCCTTTCTTGAAAACCCAATATTCTGCCTATCTCCTCCATTGTCAGCGCAGTCTTCCAGCAAACCGATTTTTCTTTCCCTTCTAGATACTACAGCGTGTAATTTCCATATTTTGCTTTTTGCTTTTCCAATTTTCATCTGAGATAGGAGGGTGTTTCCTCCTCACTCCATCTAGTAGCAATTTAAGTGCTATTCAGGTCTGGCTTACGAATTTGAGAGTTCAGAAGCATGGGATCAAATATGTTCTGATAATGATCCTTGCGCTTGGTTGCTAAGAATCATCATTCAGTGTATCTCTAAATAGATTTAGATTTAGATTTAGGAGTAAATAAGCAGGCTGAAGCATATGATGAATGATTGCTAGAACTGGGCCTGGCTAGTCTAGTGAATAGAAGGACCAGGGGAGACAGGAGAGCAGTCTTCCAATATTTGAGGGGCTGCCACAGAGAGGAGGAAGGGGTCAAGCTGTTTTCCAAGGCACCCAAAGGCCAGACAAGGAACAATGGATGGAAACTGAACAAGGAGAGATTCAACCCTGGAAATAAGGAGATATTTTCTGACAGTGAGAACCATCAACCGATGGAACAGAAGTTGGCTTCGGAAGTTGTGGGAGCTTCATCACCGGAAGCGTTCAGAAGAGACTGGACTGCCATCTGTCAGAAATGGTGTAGGGTCTTCTGCTTGGACAGGGGGCTGGACTAGAAGACCTCCAAGGTCCCTTCCAATTCTTATTCTGTTCTGTTTGAGATATCTCACTAGACAGCTACGCTAGAAAGAATGCAGCAACCAGGATGATGAGGGGACTGGAGGCTAAACCCCTCCCCCAAGTCTCTTCAAATCTGCTATTCTAGATTCTAATGATGGTTTATTGCATGGGACTTGAATCTAGTTAGGACTAGTCCATTATTTAAGATCCTGACTTGATAATTTTATAAGCAAAGACTTTCAATGGTGTATTCGGATCACTTCCCTGCTAAAGCCAACAGGTGCCACCTATCTTGTCCTTACCTTGATGGCACCTCTAATTCTTAAGCTCACTTTACGGAAAAATTTGGGACCACTGCTAATTAATTAGATGTAGCCTCTTTTTAAATTTTGCACAACCCTTCCCTCCGCTTGATACCAGCTGGAGGCCAATAATAAAAATGTGAGGGTCAAAGAATTGAGGCCAGACGAAGATCTAAAACACTGTAGACATCATTAGCTGATGATCGCTGAACAATGCTGGGATCTGAGCTTCTTAATCAGGGGTCCTCAAACTTGACAGCTTTAAGACTTGTGGATTTCAACTCCTAGAATTCCTCCTCCAGTCATGTTAGCTCAGGAATTCTGGGAGTTGTAGTCCGTAAGTCTTAAACTTGCCAAGTTTGAAGACCCTTGTTCTTAATGATGATCACCTTCTCTGCCTTTTTATGAATATCTGTATCAAGATTCTGGCAGTTACCCCAATTAAACCATGAATCTCAAGCTAAAATTCCAAAACTTCAAAAGGATTTATTAGGAGTTAACATGTCCAGCATTGCCTGGGTGTAGTCGACTCTGAGACACATCATTCATTGTCACCCTTGACCCTGGTTTTCCCTCCACCCCCTGTATTCATATTCTCCAATGGGACACCTCCGTAGCCCAGAGTCATCAATCATGCTCTCCAGTTAGAGTTTTGCACAGCATAAACTTCAGTCACCTAGTTACTATCTTTGAAAAACTATTTATGGAATGCACTTTCGGTTTTGAAAGCTGCCGCACTGCTTCCCCGTCCCTTTCTGTTGGCAACTCTAAAAAGACCATAGAAATGAGTTTATGAGTTGACAATCTGTCTGAAATCTACCTCACCAAATCGACTGTAGGGTTTACAAAAGACCCTTCATCCTGCAATATGTTTGGGGGCTGATCTGTATTTGTATTATATTGGGGGTAACTGCCGGAATCCTGACAGCTAGCCAACTCTGAGACACATAAGTCACTGTCACTCTTGACCCTGGTTTTCCCCCCACCCCTCTGGGTGTATCGTAATTCATATTCTCCAATGGGATACCTCCATAGCCCAGAGTCATCAATCATGCTCTCCAGTTAGAATTTTACACGGCATAAACTTCAGTCACCTAGTTACTATCTTTGAAAACTATTTATGGAATGCACTTTCGGTTTTGAAAGCTGCCGCACTGCTTCCCCGTCCCTTTCTGTCGGCAACTCTAAAAAGACCATAGAAGTGAGTTTATGAGTTGACAACCTGTCTGAAATCTACCTCACCAAATCGACTGTAGGGTTTTACCAAAGGCCCTTCATCCCGCAATATGTTTGGGAGCTGATTTGTATTATTTTTGCTTTTCTTTGCCCCTCTTCGAAAAGTATGAAAGCTCACCCTCCTTCATCTTCCTTCCTTACAGAATGGCCCCATCATCAACCGAGATACAGGCCGGTGTCTGGAAGTAGAAATGTCTAAAGACGCCAACTTTGGACTTAGATTGGTAGTGCAGAGATGCTCGGGGCAAAAATGGATGATCAGAAACTGGATAAAACACGGAAGGCATTGATTTTCCAAGCGTCAAAGTACAAAGGATGTCTCTTCTCCAATATCCCACGTGCTTAATCTCTCCAATGGTTGGGTAGATTAAAATAGGATTCAGACAAAGAAACCAGGATGGCTATAAGGAGAAAACCAACATACGGTTTTGGGGTGTTATTCTTACTTTTTTTTTTTTTTTTAAAGGAACAACGTGGATTGGTCTTGTCAATGTCAAAAAAGCTGATCTAGAGGACGCTGATCTAGGACTCGTTCCTCGATAGACTTAGTTGGGTTGATTCTGAAGGAGGTTCAGCCTTTACCTGCCCCGGATCAATCCGAAGTGACTCCAACCTATCCTTCTCTCGTTGGGCGACCGAGAAAGACTTCTCCAAGTTTTCTCATGTTTCTTTCTGATGGATAAAGGAGAGGGAGAGGGAGAGAGAGAAAAAATAGACAATAGAATCAAACTTTGGCTTTGGGTCTCATGGAATTGGGGGTGGGGGTGAGAACAGGGAGGGTAGCCATATTTGGGGTGGATTGGCTAGGAGGGATGGATCTTGTGCCTCGTTGAAGAGGGTCCCATTCCAGGTGGATTTTGTAGCTTTAAGTTGCTGGCTGGATGCACAACTCCTCCTGTGGTGAGCAGACCCCACGTGCCTTTTCTACTGCGCTTCCTATCCCGAGGAACCTGGAAGTCACACACAACTTCAGCATGTCTGATTGACTTTATTCCGAAAGCACCCCAGAGGCAAGAACGAACACCCTGTAAATAAACAACACTGCCCTCCCCACACACAAAAAGAACCCGATACACAACCCGTTTTCCAACAAGTTGACTTGGATGCCGGTTGATCAGAAGAGCCCCATCCTTTCTTGATGATGAAATTGGAATGAGAAGACGGAGGTTGTGTGTCTTTCAGCCCTACCTTCACATCAACCTGCAGAAGGGAACGCTGGGAGGCGAGAGGTGCTTTGATTTGGGGGATGTGTGTGTGTGTGTGTGTGTGTGTGGTGTGGGTGTCTATCACAGCTGTGATGTTCAAATGGTACCTGCCACTCCAGGGTTAAGGCGCAACTTCTAAGGACTTTCCAAACATTTCCGTCCAGTTGTAATTTTTCCAATGGGTTGGAAGGGTGGCATTCTTTCAATACCCGGGGACTCATCCAATCGGCTGCATTTCATTCATTTGGCATTAAATTTTAATTGACGGTATTGATTTTGTCCTAGCAGTATCTGCTTTTGGCGGGAGTCTGGTAAGGCTACTCAAGATTTAAGGACAGGTAGTCGTCGGCTTAAAAACAGTTCGTTTAGTGACCGTTTGAAGTTACAACAGCACTGAAGAAAGTGGGTAATGTCACTGCTTATGGAGTATGGGAATAGCTCCATATTACTAACGGGATTTAGTTTAGTTCACTTTATTGTCCTTGCACCTCATACAACGAAATCGAACACCATCTTCAGTGCACATCAAGGGGATCTTGACACTCCAAAGCAAGAGATTTCCTGCAGAAGTCTTTGTGGGGAAATACTTTTACTCTAGGTCGAAGTGCAGAATTTCCCGGAAAAATGCTGAGCACCAGGAACCTCCAACTTAAGCTACTGTTCCTGAAGTAGATGCTCAGATGGAGATCAGAATAAGAGGGTTAGAAGGGAGCTTGCAGGTCTTTTAGTCCAATCTCTCGCTCAAGCAGGAGAACCTATACCAGTCCAGACAAAGTGTGCCTAGTCTCTTCTTGAACATCTCCAGAGATGAAGCACCCATGACCTGCTTCTGTATTTTGAAGAGAAGTGTGATGACCCAGGGTGGGGATACAAAATAAACACAGTCACAAAAACCCGGTGAAGCCCCTTTTATTCCTTCACTTTGCTTCCAAGCTCTAAATGTCCTTGACGGAAGACAAAAAAACTCCCACACAAACAGTTACGAGAAGGAGGGAAAAAACAACACAAACCAGTCAAGATGAGGGCTGGATGACATCCACAGATAACTGAACACACACTGGGAAGGACAGCAAACTCAGAGAGGAACCATAAACTAGAGATATTTCCATGCTTTGTTTCCAGCATTCACCCATACACACGTCTGTCCTCTTAATTCAGTTGTCACAGCTGCAGCCCATGAAGGGGATCAAGGCCCTCTCCTCCCACGTAGACCACACCATTCACATCTCTCCCTTATCCTTTCCTCCCTACGTGCCCTAGGATGGAGAGGGGATGGGCCTGGGTCCTCCTCTGACTGCCCAGCCGGACTCTGCCCTTCCCCAGCCTCCTCCACAACCTCCGGAGCCACACCTCCACTCCCTGTCGGCCGTTCCTCCTTTCCCTCAGAGTCAGTCTCCACCTGACAAGAAGACGAAACAAGACACCTCTGGAAGGAGAAGAGCGATCTGTGGGCCCTTACATGTCCATCCTCCACAGGACAATCTTTCAGATCCGTAAAAGGTTCGTGAAGGTTACAGAAATGGAAATTGGGGGGCTGGGAGACCTGCTATGTTGACGTCATTTCCAAACAACCCCCCCCCCCTCATTCCTCTCTGTTTCTCGTCTCTGCAAAACAGCCTGCACATTTCTTTCATGCATTGTTTTCCCATCAGGGGAATGTCAGAGGTGAGAACTCATCCAGGCAAATGTGTGTGTGTGTGCCTAGTCAAAAATTCATTCCGGCTCCGTTCACCTTTTTGCCCATCAGGGAAGCCGAAGGAGACCAAAATAAATAAATAAAATAAAATCCCCATCTCCGCCAAGCTCTTCGCTCTTTAGAATTTTAATTAAGGGGTCCAGCTAGGTGAATAGCCAGCTCAGAAGTCTTGGGCCGAGATAATCATATCTTGGAATGCATAGATCACCTCCGAGCTTTGGTGCAAGCTTATGTTTTAATAATACCTTCTTCTTCTAGATATCTTTCCTGAAAGCTGGATAACTTCAGAATACTGATTTGTTTGCTTTATAAATGGCTTTTCTCATTGGAGACCACGCCTGGAAAGAATCGCCCATGACTGGAATGGTCCAAGACGGATTGTGATTCAATTAACCGATGCTAAATCGATCGGCCTTCCACTGCAGTGCAATTTAGAACAGTTTTGTGTGTGTATGTGTGTGTTTTGTTTAAAGAAAATGGGTTTCCTGAACAGGAAATGAAGGTTGCTCTCCTGAAAACTAGCCCACCGTTCTCCTTCCGTTGACTTAATATCTGCTCTACACAATGTACTGTGTGGGGAATCCTAAATTGGATGCCTTTACAAAGACATAAACTTTTCTTAAAAAGGACCACTTAAACCTTGGACGAAGGAAACAAGGCTGAGTCAAGAAGATGACTGGGTTTTTAAGGCAAGAAAGAACACAGAGAAGGGCGACAAAGATGATTAGGGAGATGGAAGCTAAAAGATATAAACAACGGTTGCAGGAGTTGGGCATGGCCAGTCTAGTGAAAAGAAGGACTAGGGGTGACGTGATAGCAGTGCTCCAACATTTGAGGGGCTGCCCCAAAGAAGAGGCAGTCAAGCTATTCCCCAAAGCACCTGAAGGCAGGACAAGAAGCAACGGATGGAAACTAATCCAGGAGAGAAGCAACCTGGAACTAAGGAGGAATGCAGGTTTTAAAGAAGAGATTGGACAGACATTTATCTGAAAGGGTAGACTCCTGAGGTTGAAGTTGGACTTCTAAGTTGGACAGGTCCCTTTTAACTCTGTTATTCTGTGGGACTTTCATCACCTGCCCATTAAGGGAGGGAGGGAGGGAGGGGAATGACTTGTTCATTCCCATCTCTGCATTTTATTTTTTTTTCATGCCTGCACACTCCCTGCTCGAGGTTGCAAGACGCATTTGCATTACCGTTCTGTGAAACCGATTCCTTCTGATTGTCCTGGGAAGAGTTGATGATCTCATTTCACTCGGAGGTAAAGGCAAATTACCAAGCCTTCATTTTCTGAATCAAAGGCCCATCACTTCTCTTGATGGCAGCAGGGAAATCAAAAGCAGAGAGGAGGGCAAGAACTCCTGAGGAGAAAAGTTAAGAAAAGAATTTCACACTCCCTTGAAAAAGGAGGAGCAGGGTGGCTCAGGCAGCCGAGAATCTGCCAAATTGCGACTTCCTGCCTGCCTTCCTGCCTGCCTTCTTTCCCTCCTCCTGCTTCTCTTCCTCCCTCACCTTCCTTCCTTCCTTCCTTCCTTCCTTCCTTCCTTCCTTCCTTCCTTCCTTCCTTCCTTCCTTCCTTCCTTCCTTCCTCCTATCCTCCCTCTTACCCCCCTCTCACCTGCCTTCCTTCCTTCCTCCCTCCCTCCCTCCCTCATCCCTTTCTTCCTCTTACCTTCCTCCCTCTTACCTTCCTTTCTCCCTTCCTCCCTCTTACCTTCCTTTCTCCCTTCCTCCCTCTTACCTACCTCCCCTCCGCCTTCCTCCCTTCCCCTTCCTCT